TACAAGAAGAGAAAGAAATGAAGAAAAGGGAAGGCAAAGAAAAGAAAGAAAGAACAAAAAGAAAAATGCCCAAAAAGAAAGTGAATAAAGTGAAGAGTTGAAGGGAATCCAAAAGAAAATGAGGAAAGGCTGAAGTAAATAGAAAAAGGAGAAAAATGAATGTCATGCTCAAGAAAGAGTGACGTTACGTCTCTCTAGTTTCCCCGAGGAAGAAGAAAATGACTCAAGAGTCAAGAAAGTATGAGCCGAAAAGAGAAAATTGAGTGTTTAAGGAAAGATGGAACAATTCTATTCCAACGTCCTACCTTGATCCAAAATCCTTCGTTACATCCCGTAAAAGCCCTACATGATTTCAAGTTGAGTGAGCTTACATTAGTGGTGACTTACACGAGGGGCAAGCTTATGGTACTTAAAGCCGGACTTGTGACGTTCTTTTGAGAGAGATGAGCAAACTTTTCACAATCCTTGCTTCGAGTGTTACATTCTAAAGTGAGATTTGCTAATGGAGAGTAGAGGAAGAGGAGTTTGGGATCCACAATGACCTAAATGAAAGAGCGAGCTTCCTTGATGAATAGAGTCAACTCTTGATGCTCTAGAGTCACACTAGAACTATGGTACTCAAAAAGTCATATCATGGAGTTGTTGATAATTCATATCTGCTGTGGGTAATTGTTGGTCCCAATTGATGTGTAATTGATTCACCTTAGGCTAGCTGAAATATCCCTTTTTTTAGTGGAGGTGGGAATTGCCTTATTTGCTCGAGGACAAGCAAAAGCTTAAGTTTGGGGGAGTTGATAAGTAGGAATTTTGACTGCTTATTTACTCTCTTTTACTTGCGTTTTAGCTCAAAAAAGCTTAAAGGTATTCCCGGAAACTAACGAAATATGCTTACTTGCAGGAATATTGGGAAACAAGCCAAAGAAGTCAAAATCAACTCATAAAGGACTCTAAAGTGAACAAGAACCAAAACAGGGCAAAAGAGATAGTAGTGCGGACCGCACAATTCTAGTGCGGCCGCAGAATGAAGGTTCAGAGACTGTTTTTTGGCCAACTCAGGGAGTGCGGACCACACTGAAATTGTGCGGCCGCAGGAGATCAAGTGCGGTTGCATCCATTATTATGCGGTCCACAGGATTGAAGATTCAGAGAGCTGGAAAGTAAAGGAGTGCGGACCGCAACACTTTTGTGCGGTCGCATAATCCTAAGTGCGGCCGCACCCACTTTTATGCGGACCGCAGAAGCCTGAAGTGCCAAGCTCATATTCCCAAGACTATGGACCGTAGCACTTTTGTGCGGCCGCAGAAGCCCATTGTGCGGAGGCACAACCTTCGCAGGGGCATTTTTGTCAGATATTTTCAGCTTAGTATAAATAGAACTTTTTGTCATTTTTAGGTTAAGTTCAGTTTGTAGAGGTTCACCTGAGCCATTTTCTTTACTTCTTTGAGTAATTTTGTACTAGATTGACTTCTAAACATTAGATTTTCTTTGTTTAATCAATGATTATGCATTCTGTCTTAATTTCTTCTTGTATTTCTTCATTTTTCATGAGTAGCTAAATCTTTAGCTAGGGTTGCGGCTCAACCCTAGTGTGGGTACTTAATGGGTATTTAATTTTAGGGCTTGTTTGTGATTGGGTTAGTGATATTTAGTCTTGTTTATGTTTAATTTCTAAAATTAATGGTTGCAAACATTGATTCATGCCTAATTGACCTAGTCTTTGCTTGAGAAAGAGAGACTAGGTTTAGGAAAACTTGGCTAACAAGGAATTGGGGTGAACTCAAGAAATTGATAGCCCCAATTAAAGGGTCAAATCTAGAGATAGTAAGACCCGACTTGAGCATACTTCACTTGATTTGTGAGAAAGCCAAATTGGGCAAAATCACTAAAACTACCGAGAGGTATAGAGTGAGCAATTGCGTGTGATTGCTATACCACAATCCCGATAAATCAAACTTGCCCTATAGTTTACAACCCGTTAGGTAGCCACCTAGGTGGAAGTCACGGCCCTAGATTCCTTTATCATTTGAAAAACAACCAAAACCAAAAACATTATCTTCTAGTTTATTAATTACAATCATTAGCTAAAAGTAGAAATAGAAACAACCAATGAATATGTGGAAGTGTAATCTAAGGCACATCATACATTTACTCTAGTTATATACCTAATCCAAAATTCTAACTCTTTGTGGATTCGATCCCGACTCGCGTTGGGTTTATTATTGCTTCGACCACCTCACTACCTAATTGTGGTGTGAGTTTTGGCGAGATCAAGTCACTAATACCTTTGTCTTCTTAGCTGCCGAGAAGGTTACACCATTGATTTCATTCCCTCCGAAAATAATGTATATAGTCATACTGAGGAGAGTCTTCTCCTATCTTCGAGGGTTCTGTGTTGTCTCGATTGCAGCCGTAATTGTTCTTGCCCGGTCACTCAGGAACTCCCTGAGATGGCCGTTTTTCAACAGCATTGCCACCTACTCGTACAGATACCGACAGTCCCCAGTTCTGTGGCCGTGAGTCCCATGATACTCGCACCATAGGTTGGGATCCCTCTGGTTGGGATCAGATTTGATTGGCTTCGGGAATCTTGCTTATTTGATATTCCTCATCGCCGACACCGGCTCCACTACGCTGATGTTGAAATTGTAATTTGACAACATGGGATATGTAGAATCTCGGTTTCCCGGTATCTCTTTTTCCTGCAACGATCTATTGTTCCAACCAAGGTCGGTTCTTTTGTTCGGAGTAAACCTATCCGAGGACCGGAACCCTTTGCTACTACGTCGCCCGGCTCTCTTGTAAGGCAAGAAACAGCCTTTAGAAGATCGCCGGGCTACATCAAAATCGCCTTTGAATTTTCGTGGTTCTCGTCTCGGTCTCGCCCCTTGGTTGATGTCGTAGCTCGAGCTGATCATCTTCTATCCTTATTTTCGACTCATAGCAGTTATGAACAACCGCCCATGTGGTCTCCTAGAACTCGAGTAGGCTTTCCTTCAGCTTTCGGGAGGTGTCGGAGCTCTTCGGGTTCAAACCCTTAGTGAATGTCTCCGCCGCGCATTCGTCTGGTACGACCGGTAATAACATCCTTTCTTTCTGGAATCTGATCACGAACTCCCGTAGCAATACAGACTCTCCTTGTGCAATTTTAAATATGTCCGCCTTCTTGGCCTGGACCTTTCTGGCCCCGGCATGGGCCTTAATGAACGAATCTGCAAGCATTTCAAAAGAATTTATTGAGTATTCGGGTTAGAGTGAATACCATGTCAAGGCCCTCTTCGTGAGGGTTTGTCCAAACTTTTTTTGCAGAACCGACTTGATCTCATATTGAGCCAAGTCCTTCTCTTTTGCCGCCGTCGTATAAGTTGTGATGTGCTCCCGAGGATCTGAAGTCCCATTGTATTTTGTTATATCCGGCATCGTGAATCTCTTTGGGATTAACTCCGGTGCTGCACTCGATTTGAACAGCAACTGAGCATATTTTTTCGAATCCGGGCCCTTCAAAACTGGTGGTGCCTGAAATCTGGTCCATTCAGGCGTGAAACTCCTTCGCATTCTGATCTATCCGCTCGTTCATCTCGCTCATGAATCTCATGAGTTCGGTTTTGAATGGATCATTACCGTTGTCGTTATCGGACTCGCTACCGGTCCCCCCCAGCACCGTTGAAACCGACCTCACCCCTGGGGTGTTGTTAGCAACTCTTTGATCCGTTTGATTTACAGGAGCACTGGGAGGAACCGAACCTCTCCCGTTTGCGTTGTTGGAAGCGCCTGATAACGCTTGTTTTAATTCCGTCATGACTTGATCCTTCCTTGAGAGGTGGCCCATGATGGCTTTCTATTGCTCTCTCAAGATCCTTACTGTTTTCGTGAAGTGCTCGTCTTTTGCGTCGTCGGGCGTTGGCTCTCGTACATGTCGCGGGTACTGGGGTTGCTTCGTCCCCTTCGTTGCAGGTATCACTGATTAAATTCTCGTGTTGAGGAGATTTTCATGTGCCTCAACATTGTGTGCGATATTGACATTATTTGCTGTCATTTTCGATTTTTTGCTAAGAAACAAATAATCAAACGAGTTAGTAATAAACACAAGGATCAACTCAATTACGCAACTGTCAAAGCCCCATAGTGGGCGCCAAACTATTTATCCGTATAATGGTACAATTGAATTTGTTACGTGGTTTATAGACAAACGATCTGATTTGATCCAAAAATGATAAATAGACTAGATTAAAAATAAGACTTAGCGTTAAAATCAAAGGAAATGGCAGGCATGGCTCTGGAGCGATGCTTCTGAGGACAGAAATAAGAACAATATGCAAGAACAAATAAAGTTGTCTTATTTAGCTTGAGAACAATGTAGCATAAGTTTTGCCAATAATTTCGTGTCCCCACAATGGTTGTTGAAACTACTATTTATAGCTATACCAAGAAAACAAGATCATAGGATCAAGTCCCTCTTAAATGATAATAAAGAGGGCTATTGATGAATATGTAATGGCAGGCCATGAATGCCAAAATTCTCTGCAACGGCTGACTATTTAATATTGGGGAATATTCTTCATTAAATGTCATCTGGTGACAAACATTCAACCCGCTCACGTTGATTATGCTCCCTTCGGGGTCTATCCGATTCCAACTGCAGTTGTTGTTCTCGGTCTCGCTTCTTACTCGATTTGTCTTCCGCTTGTGTCCGGTTTCACGTGTCACGCTATCATTGGATCATTACTATAAATCAATTTTACCCTTTACAATAATATAAAGATGATAAATGTATATGAACATGTAGTCCTTTAGTGAAAAAGGTATTTTTCTAAGATTGTCGTGTCTCTAATACAGTCCTACACTCCTACATTACACACTATAGATCATTGGTGGGATTGAACTGATTAGTGCCAAACTACCAGCACAAAATGTTTAATACAATTAGCCAACAAAAAATGAGCTATTTTTACTCACATTGGCCCAAATACATAAATATGTGCAAAATTGGGGGATTAACTTGGAAGAGAACTCTTCTGCTTTCCGCTGCCGTTTTGCCTTTTCCCCTAAACAAAACCTCGAGGAACTTACCAGAAGCACAGACGAAATAGAAGCAAAAACTTTTCAGTACGATAGAGATGTCGAAAACACTGGTACAGCCGATAGGCCAAAAGCGACTTACGAATGTCGCCGTTGTGCGTCTCAAGAAGCACGGTAACCGGTTTGAAATCGCCTGTTATAAGAATAAAGTCCTCTCATGGCGTTCTGGCGTGTAAGTTTTCTTTTTTCCTCTTTCTTTTTAAGACCTCGTTTCATTGAATTTGTGCAAATAAAGTTTGTGTGTTTAGAAAAAAATAGAATTATTATACTGAAATTGGAATTTTTTTTTTGTGGTGCAGAGAGAAAGACTTGGATGAAGTGTTGCAGTCACAAACTGTATACTCAAATGTGTCTAAGGGTGTACTTGCTAAGTCTAAAGATTTAATTGCTGCTTTTGGAACTGATGATCAGTCCAAAATCTGCTTGGAGGTTAGTATTATTCCATTTTTTTTCTAACATATAATGAAGGTAGCGGTTTTAATCATGCCTAACGTGTAAATTGCTTAAATAACTTGCACTAAATAGCATGCTTATTTTCCCTAGAACACTGAAAGTACTTATTCATGTAAACTGATTGGTATGTCACAAACTTCATAACTTGTGATCAGTGGCGGAGCCAGGACTTTCATAAAGGAGAGTCAAAATGTAAAGAAGTAAACACATGAATAAGCCAAGGGGATTCAACGTATAATATGTATAGATAAAAAATCTTTGGACCTATCTAGGCTGTAATTTCCAGCAAAGAGCAAAGGGGTCAATTGACTCCCCTTGGACAAGGGTAGCTCCGCCTCTCCTTGTGATTTGTCGGATATAGAAAGGACCCTTCGTATGGTTTAATCATTTGAACTGTGCTGACCATTTTTAAAATAGATAAGTAAAGCAGTTATGAGTTATCCATTAAATTGTTTGAGCATATTTAGTAAAGTGAGCTGGTTAAATAACAACAACAACAATAACCCAGGGTCTGGGGAGGGTAGACTGTACGCAGACCTTACCCCTTACCCCTTACCCCAGAGGGGGTAGAGAGGCTGTTTCCGGGAGACCCTCGGCTCGGAGACAATAGATCTGTGACAACAAAACCCGAAAAATAAGTGCCACTAAATAGCATTTCATATTTCACCCTACTCTCCACCCCTCTTGAACTCTTTCTTTTTTGCTTGGGGATAGCTGAGAAAGATTCGATGGTTATATATGTAGAAAATGTTTCCTATGTTGTAGATTTTGGACAAAGGAGAGCTGCAAGTTGCAGGAAAGGAGAGGGAATCACAGTTTTCAAGTCAGTTCAGGGATATTGCTACTATAGTTATGCAGAAGACAATCAATCCTGAAACTCAGCGACCATACACAATTAGCATGATTGAGCGGCTGATGCATGAAATCCATTTTGCTGTTGATCCAAATAGCAGCTCAAAGAAACAGGTAACAGCTATACTTATTCTTGTGAGGATTTCAAACTCGTTTTTTTAGTTGTTTAGGTTTAATATCCTGCAAATTGTTTATTAACTTCTGCAGGCACTAGAGGTCATCCGGGAGCTTCAAAAGCACTACCCCATTAATCGGGCTCCCATGAGGCTGAGGATACATGTACCGGAACAGAGGAGCCCTTCCGTGTTGGACAAGCTGAAGGAATGGAACGCCTCCATTGTCTCAAGAGAAGAATCTGGAAGTCAGCACTCCATAGTAAGTGACATCTACATTTGACGCCTGATATTGTACTAATTATTCTTGGATGTTATCTTTATCCAAATGCTCTCCTACCTTCAGAATATTAAAGAAATCGAACAATAAATAATACTTGCACCGAAATATTTCATTCTAAACATATCTGTCCTGGAGCTAAGACTAGTGCTTTCTATAGAATTTGAGATCCCATCTCTTTCTGGTGGAAATACAGGCATCTGATATTCCAAGTGCAAATTCTTTTAATCGTATGAGTTTGACAGGAATCTGATATACCTCAGAAGTAAATGTATCTACTTCCCTTATGCTTTGTGTGATTTTAAATCATTTATAATCAATCAACTGTGGTAGCATTGATGAGTCATCTCAATCCACTCAATTCAAATTCACCTTTGAAAGTGAGATCAATTAGAAGGAACAGCCGGAGCTCGAAAAATACATTAGGGATTCGAAGAGAGAGATCTGAAAGCTCGAGGTAAGAAAAAAACACGTATCAGATTTAATCCATTCTCATGCCCGTTTGTGTCTCATTCTCTTGACTTCCGGTTATATGTATATGTGGGTGTCGGCGATGTTGTATGAGATCTTTTAGGTTGTTCATGTTATCAGTTATCATCCTGTTTCTTCTTACCATTCTCAAAAAAAAAAAAATAGGTTATCATCCTGTTTCATTAGTTCAGATTCTCGGTCCTTGAATGACGTGGTCAACTTCACATTATGAATAGATTCATAGGGGGGAACTTCTATTGGCAGAAAAGAATGGAGTTTATATGGTTTGATAACTTATGGTTTATTAACTGTCAGCTGTTAAATCATTTAATAGTTGCTTTTGTTGCAGCATAATATCCATGTGGTTGATTCTATTTAACAACATGTGTTAGTGATACTTGGTAGACATAAATATTAGGTTCTGTTCTTTCTTATAGATCAAGGATGAATATTGAATGTCTTTCATTAACATTGGTTTACAAAGGCTTTAGCTTATTGAAACTTGTTAACGGCTTAGAATATCTTAGGAATTGTTCAGACAGGTCTGTGCATAGTCGTTTGTGGTAATAATTAGTTGGAATATCGTTAATCTATTCAGGACCTTGGTTGATAGAGTTACATTTCCGGATGAATATTTTGTTATTCCTTTATGGTGAAGCTGTGAAGGCCATTGATCCAAGTTGACTTTAAAAGCCAGTTTCAAGATATGGCCTAAACAGTGAGTATGAGGGTGTTTGAATTGCCTTAAAAGCTGGTCAAACCAGCTTAAAAATACTTTTTGGCTTATTTTTGTGTTTGACAGACACCAAAGGTGCTTTTAAGCCAAGACCATCCAAATAAACCAAAAGTCATAAGTAGGATATTCCGAACTTATGGCTTTGTAGCTTTAAAGCTATTTTGGTTTGACCAAGTAGATCACCTTATTATCCCTTACATGTTTTTGTATTTTCCAAAGCATCCCTTCTCTCACTAAAAGCAATAACCTCATTTTCTTTCTTTTCCTTCTGCCATTTCTGGTTGTTACATCCTACAAGCCATAGCAGGTTACTTATCTGGTTTACAGTTGTGTCTTTGCCTGAGCAAGCATCCTGTGAAAAAAATTTGTTGCTACCAATGTAATATAACCGAGTTAGCCGAATAGTAGGTTAAAGATTCGCTCTTGAATGCAATCAGAAATGCTTGTCATAGGGGGTCAAAATTATCTCATTGCATGGAATTTTTACACTCAAGATGAATAGGCATTTTGATGAGTTATAGCACTATCACCTTTGATGGCGAACCCAACCTAGTGTAAGGCAATACCATCCATATTTTTGTTTTTCTCATGATTGCCAATGAAAATTACGATGTTGAATGATTGTATTTTCTAAATATATTCTACTAGTTGTTTCTTTGCTCCTTTTAATATTTCTTTCTTCTTTTTCTTCTTCAAACATTAAATGTTTCGTCTTCAAACATTAAATGTTTCTTTTCTTTTTCTTCTGCTTAGTATGCAAGTTCTTTTCATCTGCTACCTTTGTTAGTCTTCTCTTTTTCTACTTTGTTACTCTCTTTGGAAAGGATTTTCTACTTTGTTATTATGATTCTAGACCAATTAAATAGAAATTTGAATGTTGCAAATGATTTTTTTTTTATGTTGATTAATTGAAAATAAAAATGTTTTTTGCATTGAAGTTACCTCTTTGGGGCCTTGTTGCGATCATTCTAGAGTCGTTTACACACAAGTCAACATCCGGTCAACCTTCCCAACTTAAGCTTCCAATCTTAGAACTAAGGGTCCCAACTCATTCCGAAACATCCCCGGAACCAAACCAACTACCCTGGCAAGTCAGATATCAAAAATTGAACATAGAATAGGCTGTAAATGGGGGAACGGGGCTACAACACTCAAAACGACTGGCCGGGTCGTTACACCCCCACCCCTCACTTCATATTTTTTATAACCTAAAAAACCTAATAAGACATCATTCATTTTTTCCAAGAGAGACTGCCGCATCTCTTCAAGAGAGTCTTTCTCTTAAACCCTTACTCGCTGCTCCAATGCCGAAATCCGGCGAAATCCAGCCACCCCAGTCGCCGCTGCGTCCCCTCTTCCCCTCGCCCCTTCTCTCCCTCTCATTTGCTGGTAAGTCATCATCGGAAGTGATGACTGGCAGCTGACATTCAACCATAACAAACCCCACCGCCATGTTCTTCACTTCCTCTTCCTTGTCTGTTCTAATGGCTCGTTGATTTTGCAGGTTTGAAACCCGTTGGGCGAATCAGATCTGGCCAATTTTTAGCTTTCCGGCGACTCTCTTACTTCTCTGTTATATGGTTATGTAAACCCAATATCAATGATGTGTAATTGAGTTCTTGAGTTAGTATTAGAGTTATTTTAGTTTTTAATAGATTGTGTGCTCAGCTTTTCGCTTTTCAGTTGAAGCCCCATGGACCTCGTCGTTTCATTAGGCTTTTCTCCTGGAGAAAACACTGCTCCCTGTATTCTTGCTTATCAATAGAAGCAGGAGGCGTCAAGAGTAGTTGTTAGGTCTCACTTTTTCTTCCTTTATTCTTCCTCTCCATGGAACCCAATTTGAGCTTCATTCATGAAAATACCATTTTATTTATTCTAAAGCTTAATGAACTTCAACAAGCACAGTTTCTGCCATCTCTACAAGTCGAATGGTGTCGTCCATTAATAAAAAATGGAGGAACCTTTTGAATCCTGGTTTCACCAAACTAATGAGTGATGAGAATATGATTGCGTTGAGGTGGCCAAACTAATTTTGCATCATATACTTAGGTCAAAACTGCAGTTTAATATCTTTGATTGAGTGGACAGGCTTGCTCTCATGCGCTCTTAACTAGACAGTTGCATTTGTTTGTTTCATGGTAATTAACTACCCGTCTACTTGTTGTGTTTCAGATTTGTGAGATTGAGCCTAGTCTTTTCCGGGACTGTGATGCCTTGGTCAGGAATTTACAGGGGAGGTTGGAAATTCTTGCAGTCAATGTACATGTGGAAGGAGATACCTTTGTTGATCAGTACGATGATCACGAGGACGAGCCATCGAGTTTACGGAAGGATTCTACAGGTTCAGTCCTTCAGCTGAGTGAGAAAATGCAAAAGCAGACCATTTCTTCAGAAAGTGGCAATTCCAGGGGAGAAGTAAAACTTAACAAACCTGCCAAAGCTGGGAGTTCTGAGGGTGAAGTAAAACTGAACAAGTGCACTACTTGCAACGCTGTTGTGGGAGATTCAAAAGAATACAGAGAGCATTTTAAGAGTGACTGGCATAAGCATAATCTTAGGCGTAAAACTAGGCAACTCCCTCCACTTACAGTGGAAGAATGTATGGCAGACCTGGAACTTGGAGACTCGAAGGCTGATCTTAAAGAATATTCATTTTAAGGTTGGAACAATTTTCCTTAGTGACAACCTGCATTTGATATGATTGAAGACATATATTCTACCAAGAAACTTGAAGGAAAAATAATTTAGAGAAATGCTGGTAAAGAAAATTTACCAATGAGTGATTATTTTGAATTTTATTATATTTAACAATTGATAAAAGGTGAAGAAAGACTATCTATATCACTCTCTTGTCTCTGCTCCTCTTTGTGTGCACAAAATGCCTTTATGTTGATGCCTCCCATTTATCTTGAGTAGTGTGTTTTTTGAATCTGGTGTCTATACTGGTACTGAGAATATCTTATGATATATCGGATGTTGGGTAGAAGGCATAGGCATGTTTTCCTCAGACTAGCCATTAATCTATCTTCTACATTGATGTGCTACATGTAGGCTGCTGCAGTGGACAGAATACTACAATGTTAGAGCTGAGGCGTAATGACCAGATTATGGTCTAAATCATATTGATAATGGTTGCTCAAGCTAGAATTTATCTTTCTACTAAGAGGATTCCTTATGCAGAATGACACCTGGTTGTTGTAATGTAACACGGTAGATAATAGTGCATAAATGGTCCCCACTATCTGCATTAAGTTGAGCCATAGTAAATTGTAAGCTGATATTTCAGTACATATTTTGATCTTGTCCGCTTCCCCCCTCTTTTCATTTTCCAACAATATAATTACTTAAAGTTACACTGTTGATTTTCCGCAGGTTTTGATGCAACTGTTGCTAATGGTCAGGATTGATACTGCACAAGTGAGGCATGTTGTGTTATGCATCCATAGTGGCCGAATTTTCGTTAAGAAATCTGTGAGAGGTATTTTGTTTGGCTAACAGGTATATTGTGGTGCTTTATTGTACATGAACTGGTTTTCCGTTTGACAAGTAATTGTTGGATTGAACTAAGCTTGTACAATGATAATTGTTAATACCATCTGGTATAGCTAGTGAATGTGGTAAAGGATATTTTAACGTCCAAGCAAAGCATATATTGACTTCTTGATAATGATTGAGTTTAGATTGCTATATGTCTAAAATGAGAATTTTATTGTCATCCATGATTGAATGAGTGGACCTGAGTTAGCCAAAAATAAAGGCAGAGCAAGTGATGCCACCACGAGGGTGAATTTATCTCAGCTGATGCTCTGGCGGGGATATACATCTTTCACCCACATCTCCAAACCGAACCAAGGGGTTGGCGTTTTGACCAAAGATCCATGGTTGTTGGAGCGAATTGAAAGATCCATGGTTGTACTGTCTCGGGAAATTTTCGGTGGTAATCAAGCCCGGAGCGGGTTCTGTCTACATCATTTAGACTGACTAGGGTCGGTGTCTCTCTCTTCAGAATCACAGTTAAAGGGAACTATCCAAATCCATGTCTTATTATTTTCAATAATCCATACTTGTAGCAGAGCGAATTGGATGATCCGACCGAGGGGTGCACACTCTCCCTCCCGCTCTTCTTTCTTGATATGAATATCAAGGAATTTTGACTTGGCCTGTTCCTGTCACCTGTGCGACTGGCGCTTCAAATGGCCCTCTCTTTTCCGCTTTTCGGGTCGTATGTGTGGTGGGAAAATATCTCCTGTTTAAATTTGACACCAGCGACTAGCTCATATTTTTATGTCTTGGCTTAGTTCTTGAGGTTCATTTCTTCAATCGAGTTCCTTCCCATCTTGCTATAGTTTGAATAGCAACTCTTGTTCATTATCGTCTTGCTCAACCTGCCTTCAAGATCCAAGCGAGCAACTTGTTCAGTCGTGTAATGGTGTCTGTAACCTGCAACACGTTCGCAAACATTACCAATCATGTCCTATTTCTTTCTTACGTTCAAAAATACAGAACAAGAAGTTCCGGTGATACCGTTAAATTGGCTGATTAGTGATGGATTCTCATTAAGATGGGGTGTGACCTACTATTCTCACCACTACACCTGAACAAATGGATGATGTAGCAGCTGAGCAGCTGTCGGCCGGCAGCTTGGGTTCTTCTGCAGGCAAAGTTTCAGAAAATTCTTTGCATTATCTGAGAGGTTCCTGGGAATTTCAGGACCGTCTCCAGTTTGAATAATGCAGCTGCCTGTTAATCCCACATAGTAAGACATATCAGTCTTAACTGATAAAAGATTTGCACAATCCAGTTATATCATGATCCATAATATTATCCTTTCAGACAACCCCGATATTTGAGCAGAAATTCTTGAAAAAGAGAAATGGAACTGTTAAAATGAAAGTTGAGAAAAAAATTCTCTAGAAGTGACGTGTTATGTGTGTACACCCTTTATCCAAGTAGTCAAAAGGTTATATTTAGTCCTGGCATTTTTTGGGTAATTTCGTCAAACAAACGGTTTTAGAGCTAAGGAAATATGTCATACTTCATATTGGCCACATGGAGGTTTAGCTGTTGCCATCTCAAGAACAGTACAACCTAGGCTCCAAATATCTACAGCAACACTGGAACATCCTGCATCCTGTACTACCTGATATAATATTTGGAAACAAGAAAGATTTCAGGAAATAAGAAACAGAGAAAAAGATGTTGGAATAAACCATTTAACTAATTCTTGAGAAAATTACCTCTGCAGCCATCCAATTTGAATTTCCTTTGAAAGAAGTCATCAAAGAACATGTCTTTATCTGAGATTGGAAAATCAAAAGTAAACACGAATTAATATATCCTTTTTATAAAATGGAAACCAAAACTTGGGGTTCTGCTAAAAATCGTTACGCTTTTGGTTCATATATTGCTGCTGGATACATACATGTTTAGCCATTCCAAAGTCTGCAAGCTTGATTTCACCTTTAGCATTTACTAGTATGTTTGCTCCTTTAATATCTCTGCCAAGTAACAAATTACTTTTGAGCACAGTGTACAATACCAATAGTGATCTTGACAGAACAAATATTCTTCTGATAATATCAACTAGCTTTATTTTTTACCTGTGCGCGATGTTTCTCTCGTGTAAGAAGATTAGTCCAGAGAGAATTTTTCGAGTGTAGCTGCTCATAATTTTTTCTTCAAAAGGACCATATTCTTCAACTAGTTTGAGAATTGATCCTCCAGGGACATACTCCAAGTAGAGAGACAATTTGTCTCCTCTCTGTAACAAGATTATCAATTATCACTTTTATTGTTCTATTTTTAATTCAGTATAATATTGAAAAACACAAAAGGTGTCATACCAATTCACTTCCATAGTATTGTACAATGTTTGGATGTGAGAATTGGCTGAGCAATGTAATCTCCTGTTTAACCAAGAAACTAACTTGTTACTAATCAAGGAGCATAAATAAATATAACATGAAATACCTACCATGTAAAATTGCTAGTGTTGAGTTGAAAATATACAAACTTGAGTTAGTTGTTTGAGACTTTCTTTTGATGTAATGTCAGTAGAAATCATTCTTACTTCCTTTATAGCACACATTTGTCCATTATTACTGTTGCAGAAAAAATGTTAGCTTTATCAGTGTAGTGTGATGGAAAATGACCAATAGAACAATAGTAACCATGGCTAGTCACTAGGCTTAAAGTAAACATTTTGTACCGTCAAACCTTTCTATAACAGTCTCATTTGTTCCGAATATTTTTGGATGTTATAGTGAAGTGCTGTTATAGAGAACATATATTATAATATAACATAAAAATTGGTTCCGAAAAAACTTGGCTTTTATAATCTAGCTACATTGGAAAACATGAAGATGCAATTGAAATATAGACATTGTTTTTTCTTTTCTTTTTCTACTAATTGAGGTCCCTAAAGAAGAAGCAAAGATGTAAAACAGGATGACTGAGACCCCGTTTGTTTAGCTGATTAAAAGTAGTTGATAAGTATGAAGTGCTGAAACAGATTATGTAAATAAGCATGTTTGGTTTAAAAAGCCGTGACGTACCTATTAAATCCAGCATAGACATGTCCAAATTTCCCTTTTCCTAACAGCCTTGCCTTCTTCCATTTGGACTCGAGAGTTTGCCCTGGTTTAGCAGAAGAATTCAGTGGAAGAGGTAGAGGAAGAGGAAGACGATGACGCGGATGATTACAACTTTGTTGTTTTCCATTGGGAGAATCCAGAATCTTTCCCCATAACATTAATGGATATGTTGGTGAGGTACAAGGCGAGGTAGACTTTGAACTCTCACTCGAAGTTCTTGTCCAATCATTGTATTTATTTCTGTTCAATGTTCCATAATATGTTATGTCAAAATGAAGAAGAAGATAACTTACCCTTTACATAAAAAGGCAATAACAAGAGGAAAGATTCAACAAATTAACCTGAATGGACTAAATGACAAGTGGTCTTGAGCTTGTTCTTCTTCATCATCATTGAACTGATTAGATGAAGTAGAGGAAGACCCACTACTTGATCTTGTAGAGAAATGAGGTGAATCCAATGGCAAAGGCAAAGGAAGAGGATGGAGTTTCTTTTCATTTGTGCATGTGTAGGAATGAGGAACAGAGGATGAGGAATAGTAACCATTATTAGCTGCAAAAGTTGTTGGAGAATTTTGGGGTATCAAGATGGATTCATCAAAACTTTTTGGCTTCTTTTCTCTATTCTTCTTATTCTTGTAATTTCTTGGAGGAGTTTCTATTTCTTTGGGTTGCTGCAGTGCTTGCCTTTCAAACCAAGAAGCCATTTAATTAATTTTCTGTTGGAATAAGAGAGTGTCAAGTATGTATCAAAACTTGTGACACTTGGAATATTTTGCTCAAGTTTTGAAATGTTTGGGTATATAAGAGCATGTTAAGCCGTGTACAAGCGTGTGTTTGTTTACAAGTAAGGAGCCTACCCCATGAGGGCCCCACAACTCCCTTCCAGAACAAGAGGGAAAAAGGGGGGGGGGGTGGGGGTGGGGGTGGTGGTGGTGGTTTAAGATATCATAGCTTAGTTTGTAGGTTGCATCAATAGTTGGAGACGGCTGCACCCAAGGGTGCATTATATCGGCTAAAAATCATGAGAGGTCAAGGTTTAAATGTTGTAGAGATAAAAAAGTGTTAGATAATTTTTTTTCATCTACTCAAGTGTTGGTAGCTAGAATTACCTAGTATCTGTACGGATAGGAAGTAATATGTATCTAGTAAAATAGTTAAGTTGCGATCAAACTGAACCAGATATTTAATAATAAGAAAGAATAAATAGTTGGGGCCGGCTGCAATGTTAGTAAAGATAGTTGAAGTTGACGCCAATTGTGGATTGGGAGAGGGGTTGGGGTATAGAGAAGGGACATATACTTGCCCCACAAGTTTAGTTGGGAATGGAGGTGAATATTTTTCTATCTACTCTTTGAAAATAATCTCACCAACTTAACAGAGAAAACAATAAGATAGTTCACTGATTATTACAAGCATTTTTCTCGAGGTAAGGTGAAAGGAATAGGAAGGGAAGCTTCACTCGAGTCCATATCGTCATTAAATACGTCCTGTCCCTAGTATAAACTCCTATATTTCATATCTTAGTAGTATTAGAATTTTCTGTGCTTGACTAACGCGGTGACAGCCCGAGAGTTGGAGTGAACTCTTGCAACCACCAAAACTTACATACTAATAACTAGGAGGTGGGAGTGTCACTTAAAAAGGCAGTATGGTGTTCAAGCTTCCGTTATGCATGGTATCGAGTAGAGCGCAACCATATGACAGAAGTAGAATTTTTACCAATGGAATTTAAAAAGTAAAAAAAAAGTAAAAACACCAAGCAGCTAAGAGGATTCAATATATATATATATATANATATATATATATATATATATATATATATATATATATATATATATATATATATATATATATATATATATATATATATATATATATTTGTGTGTGTTGGGTTTAAGCTTGATAGCGCTTAAAATAGATTGAATGGGATATGGGGGAAAAAATAAAATTTTTGAATTTCCTCACACAAAGGGACATTGTCCCATATTGGAGGAGGAAAAGAGTTTTGATTGGAATATATACAATTGCACTTCTTCTAGC